CATCTCAAGTGACACCCTCCCACCCCATCCTCTCACCCCCTGCTGGACTTCCTTTGAAGCACTTGTCAGGGACTCATGCTGCTCCCTGGGTCTGCTAGCTCACCTTGTGCTCCCGCTCCCTGCCTGGCCCAGCACAGTGGCTGGCTCGTCAGGGCAGCGCTAGGGCAGCGCGGCGTTTGAGCGCAATACTGTGCTCAGAGGATGCAGGGATACTATAGGAGCATTTTCAATGACTTTCCTTATTCAGTGGCTTTCTGACTTCACCCCCTTGCCCCTTGCCTCCTGGGTCTGCGTTCCTGGTTCTAGTCTGGTCCAAAGACACACACCCATCCCCTCTTGCCTTCCCCGAGTCTCACCTGCATCTCTGGCCCGGCCACAGCAAGGTCCCTGATGGTGCTGGGGCCCAGGGCCTCTGTCATCTGCTGGAACTTCTTGATCTCCACCTCACTGAGCTGCTTGGCCTTGCTCACCTCCAGCTCCAGCTGGGCGCGGGCATAGACCAGTTCTAGCTCTCGGACTTTCCTTACCCGCTGTAGCTCAGCTTCCTGGAAGAGAAAATGTCCACAATTCATTGAATTATGTGTTCCTGGAAAATGTCCAGCAAGTTGCTCTGTCTGCCAGAGGGATGGAGAGGATGGAGTTGCAAACCTGCAGTCCGTTAAGCATGACGACTGGTTGGTTAGTCCACCTTTTGGCTAGTGACTGAGGAACCTATCAATCTGAGCCTCAGCGCCCTCCATCTATCGAATCACGAGCACCCTACCTCGACAGAGTTTGCAAGCAGTAAATCAGACCATGCAGGTAAAATATATGCAATACTTAGTCCAAAGCTAGCTAATGTTTGAGTGCTCTTCTGGCCAACAGGTATAATATAATCTTTCCCTTTGAGGACGAGAGGAACTAAATCCATATAAGGCAAAGAACTGTAAAACACAAAAGTATTTGAATTGGACTTTTTTTTGTTGTTCCCATTTTTTTAATATTGTGAATTGTGTTGAGGTTTTACATTTCAGATAATCAGTTTGTATTCAATGATTTAAACTACTTATCAAAGCCTCCCAATAGCTTACCTCCCACCCACCCCCACTCCATTTGAATTATTTTCCTCTCTTGTGGACTACTATCTTCCCCTTTGTTCAAGGTAATACCTGGCAACCCTCTAGCCCAGAGGTTCTCAACCTGTGGGTCATGACCCCTTTGAGGGTCAAACGACCCTTTCACAGGGATCGCCCGATTCATTACAGTAGCAAAATGCCAGTGATGAAGTAGCAACAGAAATAATTTTATGGTTGGGGGATCACTACAACATGAGCATCAGGAAAGTTGAGAACCACTGATGTAGATGAAGGCTGACTCTCCTTTGAGGAATCAGCCATTGTGGTAGTTACATCATCTGTTGTCAATGTGAGACTTATGAGTGAAGGGGTGGCGTGTAGCCTGTCCATCAGGTTGCAGCTTGGTGACCTCATTTGGAGGTGCTAAGGAGATGAATAGCTCGCTGGATGGGGGACATACACTTCCTCCCTGCAAGGCATGCTTGCTGACAAGACTCATGGAGCTACGCTAGAGCCCTGGAGCTGAAGACGCCACACGGAGACCCCTGCCAGCACTGAGATGGTTGTGCCACACTGGATCCACAAGACTTTCCACCCACTGACCTGTGATCTTCCTGCATTCGGCAGCATTGCATGTATTTCAGGAGCCTGAAGAAGACTTTATAGATTGATGTCGGACATATGGGCTAATATCAGACTTATGGACTCGATCTGGACTGGGCTGCGCTGTTTTCTCAATATTCAATTACTCTGATATAAAACTCTCTCTTACACACGAGTCTCCCTGGATTTGTTTCTCTAGTCTACCCGGACTCACACAGCCTTCCCCCCCCAGTCGTCCAGCACTGGCGAGGGCAATGTCCTGCTGCTGGTCCTCAGGTTTTCACTGGGTCCTCCCCTGCCTCGTCTGGAAGCTCCTCTGAAGCCTGTCCACCCTGGGTAACCCCACTGCTCTTGGATGCTTCCAGCATGGAAAGCGAGCAGGGTGGCTCCATGCGCGGCTGACAAAGCAGATTTTAAGATCACGCCAGAGTGTGTGAGCCGAGTGCCAGAGGACATGGTGTGACCGGGCCTGTTGGTGGTTTCTTGGAGGACCTTGAACGATGAGGAAGGCTCTTCAGCGCGGGCCTGCAGTCTGAGCAGACGTCAAACTTTGTGGCTGGGAGGGCCGGGGAAGCTACAGAGCCCAGCTTCCAGTGAGGGCTGACAGTCGAGGCTCTAGGCTGGTTCGTGGCTCGGTGACAGCCTTCCCCACCCCCCCTGTGTGGGAGCCCAAGTTATGTTCTCTGGCTCATCTCGGCATCTACTCAAAACTCATCTTCCAAGTCGGCCCCCACTGAACAATCTCAGACCACCTTCGCCCATCAGCCATCCCAGCCTACACCCTTCAACGTGTTGGTCAGCCTATAGCTCATCTTCCTCTTCCGACTTGGTGTGTTGGCCAGCAGCCCATGGAGACAGTCGAGGACCCTGTTTAAGCGCAAAGACGGTGGAGCCAGACCTTCCCAGATGTGAGTCTGCTTACACGCATCCAACGTGGGGCAAGCCATTTCACCTGTGAGCTTGCGTTTCCTCTTCTGTGTGACAGAGAACAATATCCCCCCCTCGTGGGCTCTTGTGATGTTTCCATTCACACATTCCTCTGCATTCTGAAGTCCTTGGGAAATGGAAGGCTCAATACCAGGCTGAACATAAGCTCTTTGAGAGTAGGCGGTCTGTCTGATCTACCACGCCCCTCTGCTCTCATCACACTATGACTTCCTTCTCTGTGGACCCCGGGAGACGACAGTATCTCTTACAGGTGGGTGGGCATGTGGATAAACACAAGCAAAGAATCTCACTGAGCTCCTAGCAGTGAGCACCCTCCCTCTTCCCACGGCCTTGCCTTCCACGCACCGTCTCAATGGCCAACGCCTCTGCTTTCAGCTTGGCCTGCTGCACGGAGCCCTGTCCCTCGATCCGTGCCGCCTCTGCCCGGGACTCGGCCTCCGCCTTGGCAGCCCCGGTGCTCTCCACAGCCGTGCTGGAGAAGGAGGTTAGCCCAGTCAGGGGGGACCCCGAGGATGGTGGCTCCTCCTCCCCAGCCTCCATTGAGGCAGGAACAGCTCCCCCCCACTCCCCCACCGGCTGCCTTTCCAAGACCCTCAGCCCCCAACCAGTTTGCTCGCAACCCACCTTAGAGCTTCTAACTCCAAAAGTTCCCTGCGAGCCTTTTCAGCTTCTGATTGGTCCAAGATCTTCTGCCTCTCAAGTCGGCCCCGGGCTTCTTGCTCTAGTCTCTGAGCTTCGTGCCTGAATAGGAGAGGGGGCTGGTGAGATACATGGCCACCAAGGGACCCATCCCACCCATCTGTCTGAAGGTCTAAGTGAAGGGGTAGGGTGGGTGGGGTGGGTAGGCCCAGGGAGCTCGGCCTGATAGAGGCTCTGAGGCTGCCGCGTGCCTCCCGGTGGGGACGAGGGTCAACAGGACTTAGACGGTGAAGTCCCTTGAAGGTAGAAGACTGGGAGATGCCGGAACAGGGCTAGGCAAAGAGCACTCCCTTCCTGCAGGCAGGAGAAGGGCTTGCTGAGGGGACCACCTGCGGGCTGAGGCTGCAGCCTGCCACCGTGCAGGGTTCAGGGAGGACAGCGGAAGCCGGCTGTGCAGTGATAGATTTGGGGGGGGCTGAGGGAAGGGGCACGTAGGTGGGCACAGAAAGGGGCTGGGGTCTTATTGTGAGCAGCCTGGGATGCCATCTGAATCACACGGTGTCTGCTGCCTACTGGGTAGACACACAAGGTGCCCTTTTATGTCCGACACTTGCTGGAAGGCACAGAGTGGACAGTCACGGGGGCGGGCCTGCGGGACTGGTCCTGGCCTGCAGAAGGCTCCGGCCCCACTCACTTGGCAGCTGCCTCCTGGGAGTTGGTGGTGATCTCAATGGCTAGCTGGACGCTGCGCTGGAGAGCGTCCCGCGTCCTCTGGTCCACAGGCTCCACGGACTGCACGTCCACGCTGCTGACCACCAGCCCGTTCTGCGGGAAGATGGCCCGGTCCCGGGCCTTGGGCAGAGAGATGCCGCCATCGGCCTCCTTGGCTCCCAGGGCCTCGAAGCCGAAGACGGCAGTGCGGATGATCCGGGCGGAGTTCTTGTGGAAGTCGTCAAAGGTGACGGAAGCCACGGCCCCCCGCACCCGGGAGGCAATGGCCTTGCAGGCGTCCCCCACAAAGTCAGGCACCGAGAAGAGCTTGGCTGCCTCTTGGGGGTTCTTCCAGTCATTGAGTTCAAAGTGCCTGTGAGCAGAGGGGCTTCCTGGAGCAGCCGTCGCCTTCAGGAAGGGCCGCTACCCTCCCCCGGGCACCGTTTCTAATAAGAGCGGATGCTGCCTGGTGCCAGGCACGGCCTAAGAAACATACCTAATCCGCATCGCCCTCCTGTAAGGTGGGCATAAGCCTCAGCCTCATGTACAGAAGGAGACAAGCTATGTGACCAGCCCGATGTCACCCAGTAGGTATCTCGTCAGGCACTCGGGTTTGAGGGTCTGTGTTCTGATCATGTGCCCAAAGCAAAGAAACAAAACCAGCCCCCTCCCCCCCCAGAAAAAAACAACACCTCACTGCCATCGAGTCCATGCCGGCTCACAGAACCCTAGAGGGCAGGGTGAAACTGCCCCCGTGGGTTTCTGAGACTAACTCGTTATGGGAATAGAAAGCCTCTGGTTTCTCCTTCGGAGCGGCTGGGGGTTTGAACTGCTGACCTGTGATTAGCAGCCCGCTGTGTAACCTTTACCCCGCCAGGGCTCCTCTATCACGCCATAAACCCAACTCAGTGCCGTCAAGTCGAGGCCAACCCTGAGCAACCCTTTGGGACGGGGTGGAATGGCCCAGGTGAGTTCCTGAGATCGTCATAGAAAATCCCATCTTTCTCCCAGGGAGCAGCTGGTGGTTTTGAATTCCGGAGCTTTGGGATCGCAGCCCAACACGTAACCACTGCGCAGCCAAGGTTCCTGACCATGGCAGCACCCCAGGTGCCTTAGCCAAGGGAGGGTGGGGGGCCTGTGTTTGGGAGCTGTCCAGGGTTATTTCTGTTTGTGATTAATCTCCTCAGATTCCAACAGCTGACACTGGGCTCCAATTCCGCATCAAGCATCGCCCTCATTCTCACTGCAATCCTCTCAGCAATCCTGGGCAGTAGGCTCTGAGGTCGTGCCCATTTTGCAGATTGGAAAACACTGGCAGAGCTGGGTGGGGACTCCGTGTGCTCCAGCTCAGCCCACGCCCCAGTTTATGTCAATTAATCTTTTTATAACCTTACACAAGAGTGTTTGAACAGCTGCCTGAGGGAGTTCAGGACCCCGGCCGCTGCCGGTCATCACACTGGATCAGCATACACCTCCTTGCTCCCCGAGCTTCCCTCTTGGCCCTGCCACCTAGAGGGGTGACCTTGCTCCCCCTGTGAGGCCAGCAGGGCAGGGTCCAGCTCTCTTCCTCAGGGTCCCCCCGGGAAGACACCGGAATCCCTCTCCCCAACCGCTGGCCCTCGCCCCGTACCAGTTGTAGGCCAGCTGAAGCTGCAGCCGGGCGTGGTCCGCGGTCTCGATGGTGATGACGTCCGTGAAGAAATCGGGTCCCAGCAGCAGGCAGAGCGCCCGGCGGGAGTGAGGACGCTTGGGCCGCCCAGCCGAGAGGGACAGCACCGTGAACTGCTCCTCGGGTCCCAGGGACACCAGCTCAGGCCCAAAGACCACGCTGCAGGCAGAGCCTGGAGTCAGACACCTCCAGGGAGAGGCCCTGCCGCGGCTGCCCCCAGTGCCCTGTCCGCCCCTGGTCCCGGGGCTCACCGAGCTTTCTTCTCCCTATAATCGTACACCTGCACGGCAGCATTGTGAGGGACCCGGTAGGTGACCACGCGGGTCTTGTTGCGGGAGGTGAATGGCTGAGGGGCGCCGGTCAGCGTGTTCTGACCCCGGTCGGCCAGGGGGTCTTGCCCCTTGCTGAGCAGCTCCTCCACACCAGAAGGCAGCTCCTTCTCCCACAGGACCTCATCCTGCGTGAGCATGTACGTGCTTCCGATCAC